TGGTCTCCATGAATCTCTTGACCTGACTCCTGATCACTCTCTCAAATACTTTTATGATGTGCGATGTTAGTGCAACTGGTCTATAATTCTTTGCCAATGCTTTGCTCCCTCCCTTGTGTAGAGGGGCAATGTCTGCTGCTTTCAGCACATCTGGTATCTCCCCGTGTCCAAGCTCTTCCTCCACACTATACTGAGTGCCTGTTTTAAGAGAGAACTTGATAAACAGCTCCAAAGGATACCTGATCAACAAGGCTGTGACTCATACATCAGGCTGCGAGCAGACGCGCTCAACAGCCTGGTTGACCAGTTCAGCAACAAGGAGGATTGGTCGACGACCGGGCCGCGGGGTTGCTAAGCTCCGAAAACACCTCAAGGTAACCGCCAGGTAAGGTACTCTGATGGCTAAAGGAATATCTTTCGGGCAGTGAGGCGCGAGAATGTTGAGACTGCCTATATGCAAGACGGCTGGTCCCGGGATTAAGAGGGAATAAACTACAGTGAAAAGACCTGCGAAATGAATCTCGGTACACTGGAGGATAGGAGTAGCGGGTACTTGATACCAACACTGCCTACAATGCATAGTATATATATATATATATATATATATATATATATATATATATATATATATATATATATATATATATATATATATATATATATATACACACACACACACACACACACATATACACTAGCAGTACCCGGCCACCCCACCATCTCTCACTTCCGTCCCCTAGTCATCCCCACCATTCCCCACTCCCTCGTCCGATGCCTTCCCAAATGGTCTGATGTTCCCATCAGAAAACTGGGAAAATCAAGTGATCTGATGTTCCCATCACTGAAATATAAGAAACACAGTTAAAAAAATAAATGAAAACATGAAAAAATATAAAAATAAATTATACTCATGAAATGAACGGTCTGGTAAAAAACACAGTTCAATTTCAACGCAATTCACACAAAATAATTAAATTAAAATGAAAATAAATCAAAATCTATGAAAATTCAATTATCAATTCAATCAGAAACATTGAAATGGAGTTGTAACATATTTAGTATAGCGTGCATGTTGCTATTATGTGCAACAGATGGCGATGTTTTTCAAAAAAACATGTTTTTACCTGTCACAGGGATGGCATCTATATAGTAGGTATATAAAAAGACGCGCCTATTCGAATGCAACGTTGTGTCAAAATTTCAAAGCAATTGGTAAAGAGGTTTCGAAGATATCCCACACATGAAAAAGAAAAGGCATGTTTTTTTTTTACCGTCACAGACGTGACATCTATATAGTATATATATAAAAACCTGCTCGGATGCGAATGGAACTTTGTGTGAAAATTTCAAAGCAATCGGTGAAGAACTTTCGGAGATTAGCGATTTTGAACAAACGAACATTTACATTTTTATTTATATAGATATATATATTATATATCTCAATGGGAAACCAGTGGAACGAGAGAACATCGAGGCGATCTAAATTAAAAAAAAACACGAGTCACATAGTCGGTAGGAAGACATTTGTGTAAAAGAAAGCTTAGCATACACACAAGCAAGTTACATCGAGCAACCTTGCGTTGATTTAGGGGTTCAACGTCCCCGTGGCCCGGTCCCTGACCAGGCCTGCTGGTCAGGGACCGGGAGAACTCCGGTCCCTGCAAGAATTCACTTGAAAAAGTGAAACAAACGCCTCTAATAGACCAGAGCTCCGGTAAACTGTGCCCCAATTCCGTCGTGTCTCATGGGAGTTACATCAGACTATGCTTTACGTTTTCCTGCTGGGTCACCCCTTGTGTACAGGTCCGGCGCGCCCCGTCCTCCCTCCCACTCATTTACCTGGAAGTTACCTGCTAAGTAATCTTTCTGATCTCATCCAGTGTCACTCTTATATATCAAAAGTAACTATTACAAGTTTTATTAAAAGCGTTAATAGTAATAATCTGTTATGGATGTTACTCATTTACGTCTGCATGACTCTCTAGATTTTACACCTCTCAGTCATGTTGCCTTAGGCCTACTAAGTGTGTGACTGACTTCCTTAGACCTACGAAGTTTTGAACTGTCTTCCCTAGGCCCATACCTGATCAATCAGGCTGTGACTCATACGTCAGGCTGCGAGCAGCCGCGTCCAACAGCCTGGTTGATCAGTCCAGCAACCAGGAGGCCTGGTCGACGACCGGGCCGCGGGGACGGTAAGCCCCCGAAAGCACCTCAAGGTAACCTCAAGGTAGGTCTACACAGCTTAGGACTCTTCCTTAAAAGCCGTGACTATAAATTGTAGTAACTGTCTAGATTGAGCAGGCCCACCCAACCTGTCTCCCACCCCACCCACCCAGGTTGTCCAGGCCCACCCAACCTGTCTCCCACCCCACCCACCCAGGTTGTCCAGGCCCACCCAACCTGTCTCCCACCCCACCCACCCAGGTTGTCCAGGCCCACCCAACCTGTCTCCCACCCCACCCACCCAGGTTGTCCAGGCCCACCCAACGTCTCCCACCCCACCCACCCAGGTTGTCCAGGCCCACCCAACCTGTCTCCCACCCCACCCACCCAGGTTGTCCAGGCCCACCCAACGTCTCCCACCCCACCCACCCAGGTTGTCCAGGCCCACCCAACGTCTCCCACCCCACCCACCCAGGTTGTCCAGGCCCACCCAACCTGTCTCCCACCCCACCCACCCAGGTTGTCCAGGCCCACCCAACGTCTCCCACCCCACCCACCCAGGTTGTCCAGGCCCACCCAACGTCTCCCACCCCACCCACCCAGGTTGTCCAGGCCCACCCAACGTCTCCCACCCCACCCACCCAGGTTGTCCAGGCCCACCCAACGTCTCCCACCCCACCCACCCAGGATAGCCAGGCCCACCCAACGTCTCCCACCCCAGCCACCCAGGATAGCCAGGCCCACCCAACGTCTCCCACCCCACCCACCCAGGTTGTCCAGGCCCACCCAACATCTCCCACCCCACCCACTAACCAGCTTGGCCAGGCCCACCCAACCTGTCTCCCACCCCACCCACCCAGGATAGCCAGGCCCACCCAACCTGTCTCCCACCCCACCCACCCAGGATGGCCAGGCCCACCCAACGTCTCCCACCCCACCCACCCAGGATGGCCAGGCCCACCCAACCTGTCTCCCACCCCACCCACCCAGGATGGCCAGGCCCACCCAACCTGTCTCCCACCCCACCCACCCAGGATAGCCAGGCCCACCCAACCTGTCTCCCATATCAACCACTCCACCAAGTCTTGAACTTGGCCTGAAAAGTGTGGGAAGTTTCACGTTAAAAAATACAGAGATCAAGGTTATTTTTACTTTTCTTAGGAATAAAGTATTTTTTTTGTTGCTAACAAATCGTTTAACGTAAACTATAATGATATACACAAAAAACAGTGTACATGTCGCCTAAAATCATCATTTTCGAGCTGCGAGGGAAGAGAACACTGCGGAGAGCCTCTCCCCAGCCACGGGGAGCTCTGGGCCCCTCAAGGCTCCCGAGACAACGCTAACACCATATGTAAACACATCCACACAAATACCCCTCCCCCATCACCCTTTCCCATCCCCCCTCCCCCCCCCCCCCCGCTCACCACACATAACCAGCCCTTCACCCTTCCCTACACCAGATGACCATTCAAAAACACACCTGGATCCTATGGTTCGCCAGATGGCCAATCAAAACAGACCCTTTGTCTATTCAAAGGAACACTTCAGTAGGCTTAATGGTCATGAGGCTGGTTCTCAGGCGTAGATATTAACATAAATACGATTTGACAGTTTATAGACAAGAAAGTGAACCCTCACTTTGTTTTACAATATATCACCTATCAAACTGTAAGCTAAATGTCACTCACTCCACCCCTAAAATGTAAGTTTGGTTCAGACTGTAATGCACCTGTTCCCTCCAGCCAGTACTGTAATGATTTGTACAGGTTGTGACATATTTCCCATAATGACAAAAATAATAATGTCTACGTGCTGTTGTTATGACTTTACCTAATCAATTGACTCATTCTTATGTAAACTTTCCAATTATAAATGCACAACCATTTCTGAACAAAGTTGTTTTATTTGATTTGATTGATCCGATTTAAATACCCAACGGCTTCACTGAAACAAATGTTCACCTACACCAACACTCTGAACCTATTTCTCCTGAGTGATGGGAGTGGGGGGGAGGGATGGGGTTGTTACACACAATCCATCACCATCTACACGCTAACCATCACCATCTACACGCTAACCATCACCATCTACACACAACCCATCACCATGTACACACAACCCATCACCATGTACACACAACCCATCACCATGTACACACAACCCATCACCATGTACACACAACCCATCACCATGTACACACAACCCATCACCATCTACACACAACCCATCACCATCTACACACAACCCATCACCATCTACACACAACCCATCACCATCTACACACAACCCATCACCATCTACACACAACCCATCACCATCTACACAACACAAACACCATCCCCACTCTCACTACCTCACCTTGAAGGGAAAGGGGTACGAGCAGAAGTGGGAGGAGGGGGGGGGGCAGACTACACTTTCTATCACTATATTCGTCTCCCGCTGGTAACACAACCACTATATTCACCATCATCTCGGAAAGTGACTATGCTCGTCACTATTAAATGCCAGCCTCATACGAAAGCGGCGACCAGTTCCAAGTTGGCGCCAAAGTTCCCACGCTCATGTAGACTGGACGGGGAAACTTTCAGGTTAATGTCATCTAGAGGCATCAATGTCCAGTTCTAGATAAAGGTTGATTCCCGAGTGAGTTTAGGGACATTTTCCCATCACAGGGAAGTTAATCAATAGGAATGAAAGCTTGGCCACTGAGTGCCACTGTAAAGGGTAAGAGATGTAGTCCATGACACTGACAATGGTCTCCTCCGCCCTCACACCACACCAGGTGCACACACTCACCTGGCCCTCACACCACACCAGGTGCACACACTCACCTGGTTATAACACTGCTGAAGGCTACGTCTGGTGGTGGTCTTCGCTACTCTTGTTATGTACCGTCCTGCAGGTGTCAACACCGTCCACTCCCATGTACACACACACCTTTACTGTACGCTTTGTGAGCCAGTGTATATATATTCACTCTCGCTATGGGCTAACACTTAGAAAAGACAAGCTAGGGACTTGTTTAGATGGTCTGTGCTTCCTATGGTACGCACTAAGTTAAAAACATTCCGACCCTTAAAATGGAAGTAGGGCGGAGTATGTTCAACACCAACTCGACACACTAGGGCGGACACAACGTGCAGAGTACTTTAAAATAAGTTTGAAAGATGAGAAAATCATAAACGCGTCAGCACAATGGGTAGGCCGAGATCCGATCACTCCCATAGCAATTCCAAGAAAGGCCGACGATAGGAACACTGGAGGAGGCGCGCGCCGGATAGAGAGCGAGCGCTGAGGAGAGCAAGTCAGTGCCTGGCGGAGGAAGAGAGAGTAGCAGGTGCAGCATGCACCTTGCTCTCAGCACACGCATGATAACACTGAGAGCCTACACCGCCACTACAGTCCTCGAGCTCCCCACTCTGGAACCTTGTTACACCCGCCCACTCTCCGCGTTTTCTTTGATCCTTCAGTACTCACCAGGGCAAACTATTTTAGTGAGTGTTCTTTCCAAGCCCTTTACTACCAAGAGGTTTGTGCGGGAATTATGATCCATTTCCTGAGCTCCGCCTCTTAACCTTCAAATGACTGACAGTCTCTCGTGCATGAATAGTCTTTATACCACAAAAATATGATAACCTAATATTATCTATAAATTATAAAGAGTTAAAATGAAATTAAAACAGCATCGTGCCATTATACATACACTGGAAGACACCGAGAGGTGTACCCCATATCTCGGTGTACACACACACACACACACACACACACACACACACACACACACACACACACACACACACACACACACACACACACACACACACACACACACACACAGTTGAATTAAAACTTCAACGTCATTCACGACTAAAGTCTACCTCTTGGCCTGTCAATATATATACTTTTTTCAAAAGTATAGTATGCATGTATGTATAGTATGTATGTATGCATGTTAATTTAGTTCATTTACTTTACGAATCATACCCATCCTGTGGGCGGCAGTGCACCCCATACCCATCCTGTGGGCGGTAGTGGACCCCATACCCATCCTGTGGGCGGCAGTGCACCCCATACCCATCCTGTGGGCGGCAGTGCACCCCATACCCATCCTGTGGGCGGCAGTGCACCCCATACCCATCCTGTGGGCGGCAGTGCACCCCATGCCCATCCTGTGGGCGGCAGTGCACCCCATACCCATCCTGTGGGCGGCAGTGCACCCCATACCCATCCTGTGGGCGGCAGTGCACCCCATACCCATCCTGTGGGCGGCAGTGCACCCCATACCCATCCTGTGGGCGGGAGCCGATAAAGTTATAGGCACACATAAAAGATTCAGGAACTGAACCCCAAAATTCATTTAGCTAAGCAAGTTTCTGTCATGGTAAGCTAGTTACGCAGTATATCAATAAGCTAAGCAGCGTACGCTAGCAGTACGCTACTGACGTGGTCTCCCACGGTTGACAGACCTTGAGGTCAACACCACACCACATCTTAGACAATTACAGCCCCGCTCCTGTGCCAGGTAAGTCCACAACGGGCTCACAGTAGCCCGTGCTAATTGCAACTTTTTGTTCCAAGTAGCGAATCTTAAACAACAACAACAACCATATCTTAACACCATTTAAATCAAGACAAGCTTAAGGCCTAACAGCCTCGAGTTATTATTTGGGTCACGTCACCTTGCGGCTACCTAGTGTTGGTACCGAGGACCGACCCCCGCAGCCAAGTCTCTGACCAGGCCTTCTGGTTAGCGGCCTGGTCAATCAGGCTTAGCCGCAGCTGCTCGCAGCCTGACGAATGAATCACAGCCCGTTTGATCAAATATGGCGTATGAATCACAGCCCGTTTGATCAAATATGGCGTATGAATCACAGCCCGTTTGATCAAATATGGCGTATGAATCACAGCCCGGTTGATCAGGTATCCTCCTGGCCAGCCAGGAGGTATAGGCCTTAGCCGTGAAGGAAGATGAAGACTGCGTACACAGTAAACACGGGGTGCAGCAGGGGTGCATGTGGTGGGTGATAACTCTATAGTGTCCACCCGCCGGCCCTCAGGCCCCCCAACACTCGCCCCTCCCTCACTCCCACACCGGCGTCGCCCTCCTCACCAAGCTAACCCGTTTACTCCCACTCCCCGCCCAGTCCTCAAGCCTGTCCTACTTACCGGAAAATACCCAGTGAGCCAGGCACAGTATATTTAATGCTTGTCTGTTTAATCTGTTGCTCAAGTTCACGTGACTTGCTTTTATTGCGGCATTTTCTTGTTTAATAATAAAAATCAAGTATCAGGAACCTTTCAGTTCGTGAGAGCCATTCAACAAGCTCAAGACAGGGCGGGGCGGCATCGAATTCACCCACATACTCACCGTCTCACTCATTAATTCACCCTATTCGCTCATTCATTAACCTCATTCATTCATTCACAAAAAAAAAGACACGGGAGAAAATACTGAAGGGTAGCACTACCACTCCTACAAGGCCTCCCCCCCCTCTCCCCATATGCAGCAATATGGTAACCACAACCCCAAAATACGCAACAATCCGCCCATTTACAAATTCACGCTCACAGAAATGGAAATTGGTCGCTCTGTCTCACATACTCACCTCACACGAAGAGAAATGCAACACACAGAACCAGATTTAACGGATCAGTTTCCTATAACCCCCTTTGAATTAACATCAGCATTAGGAAAACCTAAGCAAACTGCCCCTGGTGAGGATGGTATAACTTATAACATCTTGAGCTTACTGAATGATGTCCCTAGCCACCCTCTGCTTGACCTCTATCAAATGAGTCTCTCACAAGGTATCTTGCCAAAGAATTGGACACAAAGTCTCATAATACCAATTCCTAAACCTAACTCTCAAAAATTCAGACCCATTTCCCTTACATCTTGCATGTGTAAAGTCTTGGAGAGAATTGTTCTCAATCGAGTCATGTTTCAGGTCAAAGAAAAACTGGCCCCAAACCTATATGGGTTCATGCCCAAGTGTAGCACACAAACATGCTTTGCTGAATATTTTGTAAACTCCCAGGATGGGACACAGGCAGCCTTTATTGACCTAAAGTCAGCTTTCGATGTAGCGAATGGCGAAATAATATTAGAGCAACTTGCTGAATTTGGAATCAAAGGTAATCTTCTGAGTTGGATAAAGAGCTACCTATCCAACAGGCGTGCTAGTGTCCTATTTAAAGGAGTTAAAAGTACAAGAACAGATGCATTCGAACTAGGCACACCTCAAGGTGGTGTCCTAAGCCCTATGCTCTTCAATATACTTATGCACAAACTTATCCATGACATACCTGTACAACCTACGGAAACAGTTATATGTTATGCTGATGATATTTGTATTATGGCACACAGTAAACCAAGGCTACAAATGTTACTTGATGCATTCTCCAAGAAAGTAGTAGAATGTGGCCTCATAATCTCTGTTGATAAAACAAGGGTTCTTATTCCCCATTCTCTTCATGCTAACTATACTATTAATGGAGTGCCCGTGGAGACTTGTGAGTCTTATAAATATCTTGGAGTCGAGGTTAATGATACAAATCTCATCAGCAACCTGCGTAAAAAACTTGTTGAGCGTCTTAAACCTCTCAGAACTCTTGTTGGCAAAGGATTTGGCATTAACATAAAATATGCTCGTAGTTTTTATATTGCCTTTATACGATCTGTTGTTGATTATTATGCCTTGCATCTTCTTAATTTTTCTCCTAAACAATTACAAGGCCTAGATGTAGTACAGAATGATGCCATGCGCATCATCCTGGGTTGTCCTAGAACTGTCAGAATTGTTAACATGAGAAAGGAACTAAACTTACCTTCCATTTACGAAAGAATAGTTCTACTTAGTACTATGTTTTGCGCCAAAACTTTGAAAAATAATGGTCCCCCCAGCTCTATTCAAATTAAATTGAGATCCATTCTAAACAATTCTGACTGTTCCCTCAATCCGCCGCAAAAAGCTCCCTACAGTGTGTGGCTCAGTTGTTGTGCCTATAATCTTCAGAAACTGAATGTATCTCTTAACCCTGATAAAACTGTTCACTATATTCCCCCTTGGAAAGATGTGGAGGTCTCTCTGCATTATACTCCCATCAGTGTAAAACAAATGTATAACACTGACATTTTGAGATGTATAACATTAGAAGCTATTGACAGTCATCTTCAAATTCTCAAACCGACTGAATCCTATGCCTTTACTGATGGCTCTGTGCAGTTAGGCACTGGTAGAACAGGTTGTGCATGTGCAGTGTATAAAGGGAATGAAATGATCATGACTAGTACACAGAGATTGAACAACTGGGCAAGCACGACACAGACCGAGCTATTGGGTATTTATCTAGCCACTGAATACCTTAAGCTCAATGGTGGTGGAGTTATTTTCTGTGACTCTAAAAGTGCTCTGCAGTCCTTAAATAACCCATCACAATGTATGTCGGAAGTAGCTTGTAATATTAAATGGAATGTAATTTTTGCCAATGATAATAATTCTTGTATAAAATTTGTGTGGATCCCATCCCATGTTGGAGTTGAAAAACATGACTTTGTAGATCAATTGGCCAATGAGGCTTGCAGGAAAGAAAACATTGATTATGACTTTGGACTATCTAATGCAGTTATTAGAAACATACAAATTAAAGAAATTAATTCAGATTTAGAAGAACTAAGAAATGCACAGAGACCTGAAAGCTGCAGTATTAAAAGTTATGACAAGTTCTGTAATAATAGGTATTTGTATGGTCAGCACAGTAACCGGACCAGGCAATGTGATGTAGTAATTGCGCGAATTCGCCTTGGCTATAGACACATCTGGCAGGTTAGTGAGGCTGAGCCACTACCAGAATATTCAGATTGTAAACTCTGTGATAAACCTTTAATGCACTCACTAGAACACTATATTGATGAATGTGAAACCGTAAAGGACTTTAGACCTCCTGGCCTATTGTACCACCAACTGTGTAACTATTTTATTGACTCAGGTGTTCTGGACGACATCCTAACAATTTACCCAAAATTTGCTTGTCCATTTTAAAGAATGAAGAACAATTTCTATTTATACTCTAAGCTGCATCACTTATGAACCCATCCCTGCCCTTGTGTGGCAGTGCACAATAGAAAGTTGTTGTCACATATTCACACATTAAAACATTGATTGTAACCGTGATATATATGTGCTTCAGCCTACAGTTTAGACCTATTGTCTTATGTATGACCCTCTGTCCTGCGTGACAGTGAATACTAGCATTAACCTCAATTTAATAAGACTATCAAAATTCTCAGATTAGGCAAAATTGTAATTAATTTTGTCAATAAAGATGTTAATAATAAATAACAGAAATTGCATGACCGACAGCAATGAATGCCTCAGGTTTAGAGTCATGGCTTTGGGGGACTCGAACTTGCGTTTAAGTCGTGGAG